AGAGGAAAAGGAAGAGGAATGGAGAGAAGAAGAGAAAAGCAAGAAGGAAAATAAAAGAAATGGAGATGAAATGGAAAATGAAAAGGAAGAGGAAACGGAGAGAAAATAATATATAAAATTTTAAATATTTTATATTAAACTTTAATTTTTAACACTTAACATTGAAAAATAATATATTAATATATTATTTTCCAACGCAAATTACGTTGGAAAATAGTTGATTGAAAATAAAGTCAAATTTGTATTTGTGGAAGTAGCCAGATTTAATTTGACTTGTCAATTTTTTCTCCACTGAAATGCGGTGGGAAATAAAATAAGGAGTATGTAATTTTAATTAACTTGCTGCAATAAATAGCCTTGGAGTATGGCACACGGCTTTTTGATCAAGTGGTATTAGGTATCTTGATAAGTGCATCCCCCAGTCTCTTAGGATTAGGTTTGATCCTCCACTCCACCATTTCAAACCTGTTCAAAAAAAAAAAGCCTTGGAGCATGGAAGGGGTTTACCTTTCATGTAATTTACTATACTTGTCTTTTTTTCTTTTCTTTTCTTTTTTTATACTATTTGGACAGCTTCGTAGTCCAACACCGTTGAAGTCCTCAGCTGCTTCTACACCTGAAAATCCCGAGAGTGTTTCCTCGAGTATTTCCTCGAGTAAGACACTCCGACGCTCAAATCAGCAATACTCAATATTCTAGAGAGAGATGCTCTTAAAGAGTAATACAGAGAGAGAAACATAGAAGAGTTAATATCTTGCATGGAGGTAGTTGGGGAGTATTTATAACCCCAAATGCTGACATGAGTCCGTTCGTGCAAGTATCTCATTAGCCCACGTGGCGCTACCCACGTGAGTATGCTTGCACTTGCTGTATCGGTGCTCCATCCTTTTGGGCTAATAGGCAACAGCCTAGGCTCATTGTGTATAGCCCAAGTTAAATGTTGGACCTATTCCAATAGATACTATATTTGTTTGATTATATATTTTACCTGCGTGTGATGGAATGAATCATATACATGTTTAATAAATGGGCATTAATTACTAAATAGTCTGATTTACTATATTATGTAATATATTTAATAAAAAATTATTATTTTTTATATAAAATTAAAAATAAATAAATTTAAAGATATAATTATATTAAATGTAT